CTGCTCAACTGTATTGTTCACAGCCAGGAGGAGAAGAGTTGCAGCAGGGGGTTCCATCTTCCAGAGCTGCAAAAAGTGGTCTCTTCTGGGCTCCTTCATCATCCGTGGATTTCCTCTATCTTCCAGAACTGGGTCTCAGCTAGGCGGCATCGCCTCATCAGACACCGAGTTGTCCCCAGAAGTTGCTCAGAGAAGGCCTAGCCCTCAAGCCCCCTTGCTTGAATGTCCCGCCCTCCTGTGAGTCCCATGACTCACCCCGCCCATAGCCTCACCTGGATCTTACCAAGGTGTTTTATGTTGAATGCAAGATGACCAACCATCCTAGTTTGCCCACAATCAAGAGGGCTCCTGGCACATAGGACTTTCCATTTCAAAACCAGGACAGTCCCAGTTAAACTGGAGCAGATCGGTTGCCCTGGATAGTGATGACTCATACCGCTTATTTTAAGGACTGAGGTGTTTCAAAGTTTCCCTGGCATCCCTAACAATACCTCAAGCCTCTGGATTCTGGGGTGAAACCTGGATATCAGGCAGATGAGGATGGAGCTGGTGCAGGCACGGATCTGTACCATGCACTGGTGTCCCTCTGCACTTCTGCCTGGCCCATTCCGCTGTTCACAGAAATCCACATGAGAACCACCTACACTGCACACCTTTGCCCAGCCCCGCCATCTTTCAGATCTCTCTTCTGCTTGGCCCTCAGAATCAATGAAGTAAGAAAGGTAAGACAGAGGTAGTGGAAGCATGGGTTGTTACCACCTAACCACCAGTTTCACTAATGGAACTTTTGTTCAGCTGTTGGGTAACTGAAATATCCAGGCCCAAGAGCTGAGCTGAGGCAAGTGCTTTCCTCTTTGTTCGTAATTGGTTGAGGGTGGGCAAGCTACCCAGGTCTGACCCAAGAAATGTCAAAAGAAATCCATTGGGAGAATTCTTGAAAAGAGTTGTTTTTTTTTGGTTTTTTTTTTTTTTTGATTAAAAAAAAAATAGATTTATAAAGAAAGTTCTATGTCTTCCTTCCTGCTTTGGAAATGCTTGAACAATGACACAGTTTTGGAGCTCCTGAGGCCATCATGTGGTGATGAGAGCAGGAGACAAGGGGGAGAAGGAGTGACACTGAGAGGTGTGCACCCCCAAAGCCCAGTCCTGGTTGCATTATTGAACCAACCACCTAGTTTGAATGCCTAGCTGTGTGTTTTGGGGAAGAGGATGAGTCCTCTTTAAAAAGGCAGTGTAATGGATACTCTGTTGCTAGCGTCTTAAAGCCCTTAATAAGAATAAGGTTTCCCCAGGTTCAGTCTCCAGCAGAGAGAGAGATAAAGACAGAAACAGTGATAGAGACAGAGACAGAGACAGGGACGTAAGGCTTCCAAGCCTACAGCGTATAAGACCAGGAGAGGACACTTACATTTCCATCTGGTCTCCAGGTGAGACTATAACCCAACCTGGATACAGGTGCCCCTGAGCACTCCAAGACAGGACATTCATGATCTTCCTGGCTCTTCCTCCAGCATGTCCTTGTCATCATCACTCCAAGGGGATGCACCTTTGGCCACCCACAAAGACCTTTCAGCAACGAGGAACCAGCCCATTGCTCTGAGATTCTTGCTTTGGTGTAGGGTGGTGGTCAGGAGTGAGCGAGCTCTTGTTATTCACAGGGACTCCTAACCAAGTTACGTCACCGCTTGGTGCCTCAGTTTCTGCTTGTGTCCCAGGGATCACCAGGCCTAACTTGCATGACTGTTGTGAGACTGACCTCTCAGCGTGGTCGAGTGCTTCTGACTATATTGTGGGTATCAGACCACCCCTCAGGTCCTGGGACTCACTCAAACTTGCAGAACTAAGAAAAGTTCCTAGGGTTGCAGTCAGTAACCATGGCAGCCAAAGGATACAGATTAGGACCAGAAAAGACAAAGGGTACACAGGACAAAGGCCAGGAGAGACTCCCCCAGATTCCAGATGTCCTCTCCCAGTACAGCCACATGGATATGCCCAGTTACCCCAGTGAGAATGGATGACAACATGTGCAGAGTTGTCACAGCGGGGCAGCTCTTCCATATCCTGGTATCTGCATTTTTTAGTGGTGGTTTATCACACACGCATGGAGCATCTGAATGGCTGACTGAAGTTTTCATCCTGCAGCTTCTCCAGAGGTCAAACTGATACAGTGTGACTCAGGGACCTCACCATAAATCACGGTGTTAACCTAAACTACCCGGTATGGAAAAAGACCCCAGGGAAACACAGATACTCCTATCAGGCAGTATATTGTGAAGGCTTAGAGGGCATCTCCCAGGAGTCCTTGAAATGTGCAAGGTTTTCAAAGATGTTTCATCCTAGACCTACTGGCACAGCTCTTTAGGACCCAGGTATGTATTAAGAACCCAGTGTCTTTTTTGTTTCTTATGTAGGGTCGCAGTTCACTTCCTGCAAGTTCACCTCCTTTGTCACTAGGGCCACCCTATAGAATCAGACAGCTTGGGTCTAACCCTCTTCACATTGCTGAGGGTGAGCACTTGTTTCCCATTCCTCTTTCATGATGGAGGGAACTGCATGCTCCTTCCCCTTCCCTACACCTCCCAGGGAAAGAAAAAGAATTTCTAATCAGAGGGTCTGAGTAAGATCAGCACCCCACCCCAATATACCTGTACTCTCTCCTGAGCTGTCCCTCTGCAGACAGCTCACACCACAGTTCCATAACAGCAGCATCTTGAGAACCTACAGCTGTCCATCTCTGCCCGCAGCATGTCTGGAGACCATGGCAGGTTCAGGCGCAAGGTCTCAACCAACCTGTGCAACCTACAGGCCGTAAACCACAATCGCACACAGGGTTATCAGCTGGGAAGGTGATATTCTGTCTCTGCCTGCCTGGCACCTATGTTCATTCCTCATTGGTTCCTAACATGGAAAGAGAAGGCAGGGGTGACATTTCTTAAATACTCAAAACATAATTAAGACTTCTAGTGTTCAGAGATGTCACAATGAAGTCTCTCCTCAAAACCCTAGGTCCTCCCCTCGCGCTGTCTCTCTGGATTTCCTGGCCTGTTCTCATCCGCCGGACACACTCCAAGCTGCCGAGGACCCTCTGCACATATTGGGACAGACCTAAGCACAGATGCCTTCAGAGTGGGCTGGCTGCCTCCAATCTTGGGAAGGGTAGGTGGGTACTGAGTTATATCACAAGGCCATTTTTAATTCCTTATATTTACACAGGTTCTCACTAAGTTGCCCAGGCTGGGCTCAAACTTGTGGTCCTCCTGTCTCAGCCTTTCAGAGTGCTGGGATTATAGGCATGTGCCACCACACCCTGGTAAGTCTTTTGCTCTCTCCTCAGAATCCCCCCCACACACACCACCATTCCTGGGTGAGTGTGTTGCACACTGGACCTGCACTAGACTCAAATCCTTTTTCATGTGAAGTAGTATCATGGCTTGTTCCCTGCACAGGGCAGAGGACAATTTTCAGATCTCTTCTGAATAGGCAGCCAAGTTCTGCTCCTTAGATACATTTGTAAATACACACACACACACACACACACACACACACACATGCAGACAGGTGGGGGGCATCCATTCCCCCACAGGATTTAGAATGTGGGAGCCCCTCTCACAAAACAATCCTTTCTCTCGGAGCTCACCTCAACAATTTTAGCCACTCAAGAGGTGTTTATCAGGTGTCCACAAGGCTTCCAAAAATCCTACCTGATGGTTAATAGTGTAGACGTTCAAGCTAGACCATCCTAGGTTCATATCCCAACTCGAACATCTGCATGACTCTGGGCAAATTACTTAGCTCCTCTGAGCCTGTTTCCTCAGAATCCTCAGTGAGCTTTCCAGTAGGACCTGTCTTCAAAGTGCCGTGCACTGTCCAGGTTGGCCTCATACTCGAGGACTCTAAGCTATTATATCAATAGGAACACTGAGGGGCTGGGGATTTAGCTCAGCGGCACAGTGCCTGCCTGGCAAGCACGAGGTCATGAGTTCGATTCCCAGTAATGGGAAAAAAACAAACAGCAAACAAACAAACAAAAAAATAGTAACACTGATATCCCTAGTATTACCAGTAATATCACCTCAGCTAACCCCACTGAATCAGCAACTACCTAGAGCAGGGATGCAATCCTCTGGGTAGTGACTGACAGACAGATATTGTGAAGTTCAACTTGAGGGTTCTAGGTGTTGGAGTCAAATTTAGAGAGTCTGTGAAAGGAGGAGGAGGGGGTTCAGACAGCATGGATTAGATGTAAGTCCTGTGCTGGAGTCAGAGACCCAGCTCTGATCTGACACTGGCTCTAGCCTCCAAGCCCCTCAATTTTGCTGTTTAGGAGACAATCCCCACTACATGGCAGTATTTGGGGGCCGTAGAAACAATATGTGAATCAATACAACAGAAGGCAAATTGGAGATAAAAGGTACAATGATCACAAGTGAACCTCCAAATCATCCCTGTGACAATCTCAGTCCTCCAGAAGGACAGAATCATGAGCAGCCTGGTGTGTCCCAAAGTCAGGGAGGAGGTGGGGGCAGCAGGACAGTGCATGAGCACAGGTAACCTGGACTTGAAGCATGGTTCTGCTGCTCACCAGAGATCTTGGGTAGAGGACGGAGCTTCCTGTGGCCAGCATCCCTGTGTAACGCAAGAAATCTGCACTCCCCCCTGCAAGTGTCCATGGAGGGAGGCAGGCTGGTGTGCACGCACTGTCTAATAGATGGCACCCACCATAACAATAGAGAGCTCTGGGATAAGCATCCTAAAAGCCCAACAACCTGACTGGCCGGTATGCAGACTAGGCGGAGAGGAAGCTAAAGCAGGCAAAGGCAGCAGAGAAAAGCAAGAGATGATGGGCCAACATGAAAGCAGACAGGGAGGCCTAACAGGCAAGGACGAGAATTACCAAAGTGGAGCCATCTGGGGCCCTTCTACCCCATCCCTTCTCCACAAACACTGCACGGTCAGTCCCAGTACTCATGCACGGAGTGACAAACCACAAGAGTCTGGAGTCATTAAAGGAAAGGTAGAGCTGTTCAAAACAATCCATTTAAGAATACACACACACAAAAGTGCTGTACATCCGGGCAACATTACCATCACGAACAGGAAAGAGTTTGAGGTAAATGTACAAGGGTCTGAGTTAGTACTGGGGTGCCTGCTTCCTGAGGAAGCTGGATATATGGAACTTCACACATCCCCCAAAAAAACCCCATGATGAGGTCTTTTTACCTCTCAGCAAGGTGTTATTTTGGTAGAAAGAAAGCCATATAAATGGGGAAAGGGAAGCAAGAGAGTAGGGCTTAGAATTTCTTTCCACTTGAAAATATCTTCCACTTGGTACGCCTAGGACTTAGTCTGCCTGGTTCTTCCTGGCGATGCCAGAGCGTCACGGCCCCGGCTCAGCAGCATGCATTCCAGCCGCCTGCAGTGCTCCCGGAGCTGCTTCTCACGAGGCAGCAGGAAGGTGAGCACCTTGTTCCTCACGATGCCGCGGTCCTCCTCCTCCCTTAGCCGCTGCTTCACGCGGGCCGCCTGCTCCTCTTGCTGAACCAGGGCGCCATTCATCTGGCAGAAAGCATCTTCCAGGTAGTGAATGGACTTCAACGCCTCCTTCTTAAAGTCCTCCAGCTCCCGTTGCACCCCAGCCACCTTCTGCTGCAAGATCTCTAGGTCAGCCGGGGGTGGGAGGGAAGAAGGCCACGACTGGGAGAGGGAAAAGTCTCCAGACTGGAGGCCAGTCTCCACCATCTTCTTCCCTTGTAAGGTATTCACCTTCATGAGAATGGATCCAGTCTGATAGAGGGGCTCCATCCTCTCACTTCCTTGTTGGACCAAGGGAGGGAGCTAAGAGACCCACCAGGTCATTGAGTTCTTTTGACTAGAGGCACAATCATCGGGAGTGGAAGGACCCTACTTATTGTGACATCAAGGCCCTGTCAGCCAACCAGGAGGAAAGCCACAGCTCATTTACATATTGTAGCCTCCTTGGTTGGTTACCTGGAGATAGGTCTGCTCATCTTTCCAAGCTGTCTCCTGAAACTTGGACTCTCAAAATCATTGTCCTTCCAGAACCAAATTTCAAGCTCTCCTTCAACCCCCAGGAAAAATCAAGTTCCAGAACAGGGGGAAAACCTGGTAGGACAAGGTGGTCCAGGCCAGGCTCACTGGCTGCTAAGACTTAGCAGTCACCCTTCCTGACAAGGGGCCTGGAAAGTCTTGGGATGTGTCTGGGCTTCAGTTCCTCAACAGAACAAAACAACGACATTATAAGACATGTTGCCTCCTCCTACTTCTAGCCCTGAAATGCTAAAAGAGCAATCTGATTCCATACCCATGCCCCTATACTGATGCCAGAATTTAGATAATATTTAAATTGTGAGAAATGTACTTAACGTTGCTGTATCATCCATAACAGTGGCTGATTCAGTATGTGCAGAGTAAAACTGAGTCACTTGTGTTTATTCCGTAGGTACTTTCTAAGTGCTCACTACATCTGGGACCAGGGAACAAGTGAAAAGTACTGTTATGGTTTGTGTCTGGATATTCCCCCAAAACCTGATGCAGTCATGGGGCGGGCTTTTAGAGTTTATGATTGATCCATGATCCAATGCTGGGATTATGGGTGTGAGTGCTACATTGGCCCTGGAGCAGATAGTTTGCATATGTAGGGGAGAGAAACAGGCTGCTTGCCACCACTCCTCCCTTTTGCTCTTTTGCTTTCGCCGTTTTCTGCTGCCATGAACTGTTGCCCTCTGCCACGTGCCACTCCACCTTGAAGCCAGCCGAGTATGGACTGAAACCTCCATAGACTGTGAGCTAAATAAACCTTTCCTTCCTTCATTTTGGGTGTTGGGTATTTTGTCTCAGCAACAGGAGAAAAGTAGCTAAGACAAGTATGAAACAGCATATCCTTAAATGTTGACCAACTGAGAAGAAAGCATACAGAAAGTGTATCTTGCACTTTCTACCTGATGATTATAACAAAGAAAGATGTTTCTAACTAATCTATGTTTGATTCAGTTGAGAACAAATCTCCCTCTTGCGGATCACAGTCTCTTGCCCAGACCTCTCTCCTGGGCTCCAAATCTAAACATCTTCCCAACTGCAGGCCTCAAATCCAATACATCCAAAGCTGAATTTGATGATCTCTCCCCACAGCCAGTTCCGGTGCCACGCGGCTGTCCGATCAGTGACACCCACCTGGAGCAGCACCCACACCAGAAACCTAGTGTGATGGCTTAAATGTTTGTCCCCTCCCAAACTCATGTTGAGGAGGCTGAGCCCTCCTGCCTGGATCGATGTCATTAGCTCAAGTGGGTCCCTTATAAAAGGCTGAGGTTGGCCCTCCCTTGTGTCTCTCCCTGCTTTTTGCCCTTCTGCCTTAGAATGACTGGGCAAGGTAATCTTGGACTTCCCAAATTCCAGAACTGTAAGGAAATACATCTGTTTTTTATACATTGCTCAGCCTCTGGTTTTTTGTTTTATTATAGCAGAACAAAAGAGGGTAAGAAGGGTTGGGATATAGCTCAGTGGCACAGCACCTGCCTGACAGGCACAAAGTGTCAAGTTCAATTCCCAGTACCAAAAAAAATAAAAATAAAAATAAATATCAAAAACAGGGTAAGAGATCCACTCCATGCCAAAGTGGCTCCGAATGGTATTGAATCATCGTCCCCGAACACTCTGGCACCAAGCCACCCCGAGTGGAGTCCCAGCACCACCACCTATAAGCTATGTCTCTTCAACAATCGCCTTATCTCTTAAGCCTCAGTTTCCTCATCTATAAAATAAGGATATTACCTCAGAAGTAATGCACTCTAGGAGAAAAAAAATTAAGCTCTGATTTGTAGCCATTGCCAATTTCTGTGGTGTAAATACTCCCAGCAGGATCAGTCTCAAGCTCCCCCAACTTGATGTCACTGGGAAGAGATGCACAGAATCAACTACTGTGAGCCCGAGCAGCCAACTCTGACACCACAGGGCTCACACTGAGGGCCACTGCCTCTTGACCTATCTAGGGGTAGGTATCTAAGAGGGCACTTTCCAGCAAGGTTCATGGCTAGAGTAAGGTGGAATTTTTAATCACAAGCTGCAAAAAGCAATATTGAGGTAGACTGGTGGAAAGAACATTCGTTGGTCTAGGAGTCGGGATCTTGAGTCTGGAAGTGCTGCTTGATCCCAGGGTCAGTCCCCTCCCCACTCCGAGGCTGTTTCTCTGCTGCATGTGAAGAGGTGGAATGTGTCTTCTCCGCAGGCTGCTGTATGCAAAGAACCCGCATACTCCACTTAGCTGCCTTCTCCCTCTTTGCGCTACTAGGGACCTTGTTCTTTCAGGTCCCTTAGATATAAATGTGCTTCTCACCCTATGTACCCTCAAGGGTCCTGCACATAATGGCAAGGAGATAACTAGACGAAATTGAATTTGTTTTCGTGGGTGGCCATCAAATCCCGGGCACCCCTAGGTTTTCCGCTGACATGATGACACCTACTGGTCTTAGCAGGAACAGCAGCCTCCTGATCTTCCTGCCTGAGAGCTGGGCCGGGATTTGGGAGATGATTTTTAAAACAGCACGTGGTCCCGTGGTATTATGGGGGTTCTCAGTAAATATTTCCGGAGTTAATGAAAGGAACGATTGTGGCTCTGTCTTGCAGTCTTCACGCTGAGTATCTTTCTGTTTCTCCCTCTCCCTCTCCTTCCCCTGTTCTTGTGTCTTTCCGATTCTTTGCTTCTTTGTCTCCCATAGAGACTGTTGGCAGTCACAACCCAGAGCTGTGAAAGAAAAGTAGCAAAAGTCTAGATGGCACAGCAATTTCTCAGGTTCCCTGGTGCTTTTTGGTGAGGTTTCTGAATATTTCTCAGAACCAGAGGAGGACAGTACTGTAGCACCCGCCCCTTACCTGCGACTCCAATACCTATGATCTCAGTCACTTACAGTCAACCCCAGCCTGAAAATATTAAATGGAACATTCCAGAAATAAGCAGCATATCCATTTGAAATTGCGCATCATTCGGAATATGTGATTAAACATTGTGCCTTCCTGCTCCATCCCACCAGAGTATCCACACCACACACAGTGCCCACTCGTTATCCTCCTAGTAGCCGTCTCAGCTATCAGAGCAACGGTCTTGGTGTCACAGTGCTTGTTTTCCAGTAACCCTTACTTTCCTCAGAGATAGTCTGAAAGCACTAGAGCAGCCATGCTGGTCATTTGGATTCGCCCATTGCCAGAAGGATCCAGGCTTGGTGACATCCTGAGGCTTCTGGGCAATGACCTCAGCAGGGTAACCTGATGTGCATGTCCTGAGTATTCTCCGCCTGGAAGTCACCTGGCCAGAGCCTGTGCCTTCTTCACAGCATCTCCTTATACCAGGGTGTAGCAAGGCTGAGCTGTTGGTTCCCTCCAAGATACCAAGAAACAGGAATCTGATCAGCTCCAGGGCTTGACCTCCACTGTCAGAAGGACCCCCTGCACTGCTCTATTGCAGCAGTTCACAGCCTATCTGAGTCAAGATAAGGGGGAGACAGGCGAAGTCTGCTGGCCCCATGGAGATCCCCGATTGGAGAGCCAGATTCAGCCCGATAGGATGGAACTCATAGAGGACACGCTTTATGGTTTCTGGGATAGGTGCTGTGCACCACTCAGGTCTGAGCACCGTTCCTGCTGCTCCAGGCCCACGACTTGGGAGTGGAAACCACATGGCTCCCCACCCTTCCAGGTGTTTTCACCTCTGCATATGAATAAACGTTGATCTTTTTTTAGCATCTGAAGGGACAGGACACAGATGCATCTTGGTAAAAATGAAGAACCCCTCAGAAGTAGAAGCACCTCACATCTCATTAGTGACAATGACAGCTCCGGCCATTTCCAGCCCATCCCTGGCCAGGGGGCCCAGAGTTGGTGCATACCACCACAGTTTGGCTGGGTAGGGACCCCCATACCAGAACCAAATCAGGATTCTGTACTCAAGCAAGAAAAACGAAGGGTGGGCAACTGTATCTTCTGAGAAGAATAAAGACTGTATATTTCAAAAGAAGATCTGGTGAAAGAACCATACTTGATCCCAAAGATAAACTGCTTGCATCAGCTTTGAGACAGAAGGGGGAAACTGCCTTCCGGGAGCCGTTTAAGACTGATCTCGGGGCTGGGGATTTAGCTCAGCGGCAAAAG